AGAGCAGCTGTGGGCAGTGGTGTGTACATGGCGCTTGCCCTTTTGCCAAGATGGGGACGTAGATTTGGGCTTCAGGCCTATGACCGTGAAAGGCATAGACTCATATGTTCTTAATGTTAGTAAGGTCTTTGGATGTGCAAAAAAGAAAAGAAGAAAATGCTTCCTGAAAAATGAAGGGCTGGGCTGCCTTGCGAAGCAGAGATTCCTCATGCTGGAAGTGTTCCGTGGAAAAGACTCAGCCATCTGCCAGGGATAGAGTTGAGAGTCCTGTTTTGAGTAGGAGAGCAGAACTAGCTTGGTGACTCTCATCAAGGAAGAGGAACCATGCCAGGGCCTCTGGTGGTTGATGAGTAACAAAAACAATAAATACCTGTCATTTCTGTTATATAAGACATTGGGGAAAGTGCTTAACATCATCACCTTGGCTGGTGGGTATGTCCGGAAAATATCTTGACAAAATTTTTGGAGATATAAGTAGAAAATGTTGAAAAAGACTTCACTCATGCTTTCTTAGACCTTCCAACAACAACAAAACTCTGATTATACAACGTATTTTAAAAAGATGCATAATGCACCATTTTGGTCAAGAAATTGTTCATTGATTGATTGACCGATTCCTTCAACATGATCAGATAAGCAAACATTTGTTGAATGAGTGATAGAATGAATGAGTAACTCTTCCTTTACCCCAGGTTTAATAGCCTCAGTTTTCCCAGGTTTTGTTACTATGATCTGTTCTTTTTCCACATGCCTAACAGTCCTGGTGACCCTGCCCTGGATGACTTTCAGTCTGTTAATGTCCCTCTTACAGTGCAGCTCTCAGACATGAACACTATACCTATACTCCATCCTTAGTCAAGTGGCCCCCCAGGAAAAGGCCTTGTGATAAGCAATCAGCTAAAACTAAAAACAAAAATCTTACTGTTCTGGAAGGCCAGGGGTCAGAGATGTCACGGTTGAAATTTCCTTCAAATGGATCCAAACGGGGCTGTTAAAAACCAGAGGTAGAAGTTTGCAGTTTTTGTATGTGATGTTTTTGTTGCTTTATAACCCCTCAGCCAAAGTGAATGTTATTAATATATTCAGTCCTGGGCATGGCTCCTGGCCTCTATCCCTGTGCCAAGTACCAGACCAGGGATCTGGGAACTAGGACACGAGCCAGCTATTTGAAGCACATTACATCAGACATTTCCTGAGGTGAAAAGGAAGGCCTCCTTGCTAGAAAGCAGGGAGAATTTTGGCTCTTAGAGGCTGGATTCAGTAACTTTAACTCCCTGGCTAAGGGCCAGGCCTCCAGCAAGCAGCTATCATGTGGCCTGCAAAAAATTCAGATCCAAAGCCTCTGGCTCCTGCTTTACGGGTGACACCATGGCCTCCTTTGAGAGATGTATCACCTTTTTAGGGACAGGGGAAGATTTTAGAAAAGGAGAGACATTATAAAACCTGGCATTAAAAAAAAGTCCTGATAACTTTTCTACTTTTCAATTTTGGCGTCAATGTTGTCTTTGTAGTGGGAAATTGCATACCCTGAATTAGAATGCTGTCCACAAAAATATGTCATCTATCACTCTTTCTTTTTGAGTTAAATAAAATCATAGATATATTGATGTTAACTATTAAATTTATAAATTAGACCCTAATATTAGTTTCTCAATTAACTTCATAAATTGTCTTTTGCAGCCAAGGAATTTGATCTCAGTATCACTCTAAGTTAACTATTTTGTAATTCTGAAGTCTTTAGCTCTCCCTATATACCAAACGGCTACTATGAATTGGACATACTAATGCCTTTGTGTTCATTGAGTACAAAGCGCTACTCAAATGATTTTTTTAAAAAAACCTTAATTAATGATACAGAGGCTCTGGAAGCCTCCCTTCTCAATGCTTAAAGTTGTGTCCTAGGGTGGAAACAGAGCTGGTTAGAGTAACCTTAGGGTACATGAGAGATCAAGATACAAAGCACCTTTGGGTGAGTTATCATATCTGATACTCCTCCTACCTACAAAATACGGAGTTATTATTAGATCATTCTATAGTTTATTAACTTAGGCTCAGCAGAGATAAGTTCTAAAGTCATTTTCAGGATCAATGCCCAAGTCTTTTGCTAGACCAATGCGTTTCCCACCATAAGCTCTACAACTGAGGGGCACCAGTGTTGCAATGAGCACTGATGACTGCGCAGACCCCTGAAGGAATGATCTGGTGAAGTACTTTGGTGTAACCTTTCTGTAGTCTCAATTCTTAGTCGTCAGTTTAAACTCTGGCTGGATACTTAATCTTTCCTTTTGGGAAAATTGATCTGGCACTATTTGATCCCTGCTTTGAAGGGGTGCTCACGAAAAACATGAAATATTTATGAAGTGCTTTGTTTCACGGGAAGTACTGTTCCAGGCTATGAAACTTTAGTGTGCTTCTGGGTGGCTGAGTTGGAAATGTATTTCAGCTTTTACCCATTGACTCTTCCGAGGTTGCACAAGGCACTCCTGACTGTCCATGTGTGAAAATCTAAGAATGTCATACATCCATTTGTCACCTTTTGTGAACCATGTTTGCTCCTGAGGAAGGCATGATGTATTACTCAAATGTCCAAGAAGGGAAATAAAGGAGTGAGTGTGAGAAGAGGAGGTGGCAGCCGGGATACAAGCAGTGGAGGCAGGGAGGTGAGTAAAAACTGACAACGCCTGAGGAGCCCAAGCTGTTAACCCTGCAGGGTGTCGACATCCTCTGCCATTCACCCTGCAAGGTGAAACAGAGACTTGCTGGCCAGATCTTGCAAAGGAACTTTGCCAAGGTCTGCTGTGGCCAGGCCTTCTCAGTGACAAGAGACAGTGGGGTGCGGAGCTGTTCATTTGGCATCCTTCACCATCACTAAGGTCACTGGTAAAATATCAAGCTGATCCTATATACATGGCTTCAGGAAGACTATCGGGATCGGAGGGAAGCCAGGGGAGGGGACAGCGATCAGGTGCACGGAGGAGCGAAGCCTTCTGGAAGCACACACAGGAAGGGTCACAATAGCCATGTTGCCACAGCGAAGCAGCCAGCTCGTGTTTACTTTCAAGTCCAAGTGTTTTCCTTTGTATAGCCATACCGTCACCTCTTATTTCTCAGGAAGTGACACAAAGTAACAGGCTTCACGATGCCATCAATGTCCATTTTGACAGCATTCATGTCACAATACACAAGCATGTACTGCAATTATACAAAATCCAAAGAATAAAATGTTACGCGTTACACTGGTTAAAATGAAACTGACAACCAAAAAGGAAACAAAACGAAAAGAAATCTCTGTCGGAATCCATAGAGAGGCTTGACAATATTACAAAAGAAAATGTAGCCGAATAATTGTTCTAGCATGCTGCAGTTCATTGCTATACCTTCATAAACTCCCAGCTCTTTAGGGGAAAGAAAGTGCGGTTTCACAGCCTGTAGTTCTCAAAGAAATAGCTCTCACATATATGCAGGTCAACAGAAAAAGGAATGCAAAGTCTAGGCACCAAGATTGCTCAGACAGCAACAGAGCTTAAAGAGTCAGACATGAAACTCTTCTGAAACATCTGGTTTCTTGAAAAAGAACATGGACAATGACATTAGTCCAAAAGGGCCAAGGAAGAAACACCCAACTGTTAATAAGGAAGAAAACCATCAAGAACTAGAACAATTAAGACAAATATTTTTTTCTACTCTACTTTGAAGTTGAATTACAGCTTTTCATATTTGGAATAAGAAAAGATACACAGTTGATCTATGGGTAGAACCCCTCTCTTCCCCATCCACACTCCCCATGCCTGATCCAACAATGTCGGAGTACAGGTACTGCTGGTTCAATTGAAGTAGAATTACCATTTCTTCATGTGCGGCCACGCCTCTTTTTAATAATGAGGTATAATCTGATGCTAACAATGCCTATTCCTTCCTGGGCTATGGGGTTGATCAACAGTGTGGACAGAAGACAATTCAACTTTCTGATAAAATCACACACATACAAAAATTATTGCACTTTAAAAAACTAAAAACAAAAAAACTCAGCCCAACGAGCAAAGGGCCAACTAAACTCTTCGGAAGTGCTGTACTTCCTGCCCTTTGCAGAGCGTCTTGACCTTTCTGGTGTTCTGTTGAATTTGGTCCATTATGAAATGTCCCGAAGTGAAAGAGTCCGAAAGACACTGTAGGCTCTTTAAGGCTAAGTCTTCCCAGTGCTTCTGTGAGATAAATTATCTCCTTGGCCACATACTACAAAGGAAGGGCTCTTTTTAGCAAAATGACTAGCAGGTCCCCCTCCCTCCAAAAATCTGGAAGCAAGGGAGGATGGGTGCACATCCTGTCCTCTCCTGTGAATGAGAGAGAGAAAGACAGTAAGCAGCCTGGGACATTGGCATCCTCCTGCCCGACCATGGCTCTCAGATACTCAGTCCCTTAGCCCATGTGGGTGTGGGTTTATCTGTGCATCATTCCCTCTGTGACTCCTCTTTTCTATGGGTCTGAAGGTCTTTTCCTTTCTGCAAATTTGTCTCTTTCTCTTTTTCTTTATTCTTTATCCTCCCTTACTCCTTGTACTGTCCATCTCTTTCTTGATGGATGTAGAGGTGCAATGCTAATCCCATCCTGCTACCCACTGGGCCAGATGCTTCCCAGACTTCCATATTTCTCCCATAATGCACCACTGTCCTCTCCCCACCTTGTCCATGACTCCCCTTCCCCTTCCCCAGTAGATTCACACACTCTACACTGAGCTAAATGGGCAGATTATTTATTACCTCTGCCAAAATTATTTTACACCTCCAAAATCTGATCTCCTGGTCAAAATTTGAGCACAAGGCATTGATTATATTACTAATGTTTTCCTGAAGCTCTCAAGTTAGTGCTCACGAAATGAGTGAGATCAAAGCATTTTCAGACTCTGCAATCCTGAGACTCTATTGTTAATACTGTTTTTCTTTTGGGGGTGTCCACTCCACCTCATGTCTTCTTTGTAACCCCTTGTAATCCATAAAATATTTGCAAAAAATATCTAAATAGATAGACTTGGATGGTAGTATTCTGATATTGCAGGCACAGATCTAATATCAGAATAATTTAAGGTTCTGGGTGGAGGGAATGGAGGTCAAATCATCATGAGTTGCAGAAGTTCCTGCTTGTTGCTACCACCAATCAACAAGCACTGAAGCTCAAAGATCTGCTGTGGTATTTGTTTTTCCCTGTGACCACTTCTGTGGGGCCAGGAGTTGGGCAGAAATACTCATGTGAAATCAGAGTCAATACAAATGGCTATTTCTGCCATCTGTCCTGTCCCATCATGACTCCTCCCATTGTTCTAAGACAGAGCACTCATGATGAGCTCTTCTCTACTTACTGTTCCAGATTTTGAACTAGGACTTGGTGACATTCTCATATATCACATCACTGATGCAGAACTGCTGCTTCTTCTTCATCCACATCAGTTGCACACACTGATGGATAAAAATGTACTGCTCCTGGCGCAAAAGACACAAATATATTTCATAGCAAGATATTTTTGTGCAGATATGTGCAAAGATGTAATGTTTTAATACTATGACAGTTTTAATAATCAATGTCTTGAATAAATGGAAATCATTTTCATTATTTACAGAGACATAATTTTATAACTAGAAAATCCAAGAAAATCAACTGTAAAAGTATTTTGATTAATAATAGATCTTAGAACATGGTGATTTTTTTTACAGTGGAATGTTTTTTCCTAGCTTTATTTAGGTATAATAAAAACTGTATATATTTAAGGCATACAATGTGATGATTTGATATACATATGCATTATGAAATGATTATCACAATCAAGCTAATTAACACATCTATCACCTCACTCAGTTACCATATTTTTTTGTGTGGTGAGAACACTTAAGATCTATCCTCTTAGCAAATTTCAAGTCTATAATATGGTATTATTAAGGATATTCACCATGCTGTGCATTATATCATACTACTTAATACTAAAAGCAATAAATATTCAATCAAATCATGGGACTATTTTGAAAAAAAAATAGTGTATCACTTCCTCATACACAGAGCTAAATTCCAGGAAGTTTAACAAATTAAGCCATTAAAAAATATAGAGGAAACTATAGGTTAATTCCTCTCTGATTACTTTAGGAAAGGAATTTCTAAAATTAACAGCCATGAAACAAATCACAAATAAAAAATTCAAACTACTGTGTGAAAAAAAGATAAAAAGAATAAAAGGAAGGGCAAATCAGAAACTAGGAGAGAAAAATATTTTCTAGAATCATAACAAAATATTGATACTTTTACTTTAGTTAGAAAGTCATCCAAGTCAGTAACATACAAATAGACAAATAGGCAAAGTATACCAACCACTAGACCAAATATCCCTGGAAGGCAGGGATATGCCTTTTTAGTCTTCATGCCTAGTATTTAGTCTGTGCATATTAAATGATTTTTGAGGGAAACTGAGGAAATATTAAAACGTGCAAAAGTGGCCAAGCAACAAAAATGTAAATTAAAACAATTATTTTTTATCTACGAAGTTAAAGGGAAAAAAATAACATTCACTGATGACTTGAGTTTGTTAAAGCAGTCATTTTCAGCTATTGTTAATGGAGGTAGAATTTATAAAGTGTTAATAAATGAAGTGGACACAGATAATAGTTACAAGAGAAAAAGAATCCAATTTATGTTCTATTAAAAAGCAGACTAATTTAGGAAATGATATATCTATAATGAAACATTAGTCAAGTATTTAAAATGAGTTTTATAGAATTTTAGGCAATCCGTGATACCACACAGGGTACATAGTAAAATGGTTAAGTGGAAATTAGGATGTAAAAAATATATATACATATATGCACACACACACACATATAGAGAGCACATGAGCATAATTATGTAAAAGTTATACTTGAATGAAAGCCAAGATGTCATCACCAAAATATGTCTTTGTGCCATGAAATAAAGATAATTTCATGGTCTTTCTTCTTTTTCTTTATTTCCCAGAATTTCTCTATAAGTAATACCATCAGAAATAACCTTTAAATAAAATCCAGTGAAGATATCCACAGGATTTTAAGAAACTTCTTGCATAACAACTTTATACAAAAAATAAAATGGTACTTCCAACCTGTATTTTTCAACACAGTTTGGAGAAAACATAGTCCCTTTTGTTGTGATAGTATCGCAGCAGTAACCCTTTCTGGTCATCACACATCAATCCATTGTTTCTGGTGTTATGTTAACACTGGGAATAGATAAGGCTGGACATTGTCTGGACTTTCAATCCACTCTACTCAGAGACCAAACTTTGCGCAAAAACAAAACAACAAAGAAAGAAAAGAAAAACGAAAGGACCACAGGAAAAGTAAATAAAAGACTATTTACATCCCTAAGAGGCCCTGAGAAATCTAAGCTGCCCATCAGGAAGACAGGCTGCTCAAAACAAAGCCCCAACTGACCTCCAGCAAAAGGCTATTAGAGGAAAACCAAACAAAATATTTAATAAAAATAGAAGAAAGCACAACAGAGATGAAATAAACTGAACCGCAGCACTTGACAGTCTCAAAGCACTTATCTAGATTATATTGTTTCATATAATGTCTAATTTACAACACTGTGTGAAAGTTGTCATTGACATTTTACGGACGAGAAATGGGAACTCTGAGAGGTGACATGATTCCTGCAGTGGTAAAGCTGAGACCCAGGCCTTCTCCCAGGATCTGGCGCTCTCCCTAACTATTCCTCTACTTGTGTGGAGAAGCCCATGGAGTGTGTCTGGCCAGGTGAGGAAGAGGAAGACAGGTCCCCATGCAGTCCAGCCAGCATGTTGCCAAGACCCTAAAATCTGCACCTGAAGACATCATTGATAATCAGTTACTTCTATTTTTGGGGGTCGGGTAAGAGTGATGAAATCAAGGCAATGTAGAGAAAATTGGAAAATTAAATACGAGCAATGGGAGGAAATGTGGTATATAATTCATGGGTTGATTATATACATAAAGACAGAACTCAATTGGAGAATCATTCTGCCTTCTTGCAAACCATTAATGTCAAAGGGGTACTCTGAGATGATAAATGTGAAAAGAATCGTTTTATTTTACTTCGTTCTTTGCTTAGTAACTTTAGTATCTTAGAAGGCAGCAGGATTTGCATATGAATGGGCTTAAAGAGAATGTTAGGTAAATCAACCTGTATTGAAAATACAGGTTGAACCATGGAAAGCAGAGGAACGAGGAAAAACAAAGGTAAGTGAACAAGATGTTCTAGATATAACTAACAAAACAGACACAAATAAATAACCGGAGCTGGATAGCATCCATCACAATTGTGCGGGAACTCGAGGGTCAAACCAAAACAGCTGGGAAAAGTAAGTAACCTAGGGGACCTCTTTGCTGCCTTTGAACTCCCCATGGGAGTTCAGGGAAGGGATATCATACTTTAAAAAGACTGTGGCCATGGAGATGTCAACATAAAACGCCTCCATGAACAAGTCAAACAGCCAAAATTTAGCGTAAGAAAGTTAGGGAGAAAACAAAACATTTCCTTGGCTTTGCAGAAAACCACATGGTGGCTGCTCTAGTTTAACGTAATTCCCCCATCCGAAGAAATATAATGGAGCTAAAAATGGGATGGAAGATCTGCCTGTGAAAGAGATTAAGACCCTGTAGTTGGGAAAAGTGAAAATCAAACTGGCCCTAGTTAAAGTCTGTGAAGTTTTAAAAGGTACAAATTAAGTGAAGGGGCAGACAATTCATCACATTCAAAACACTTAAAATACGGTGTGGCCCTTTGTAGCTTGGGGATGCATAGACGTAACAGGGGGGTTTTGGCTATGAGAATGTGAATTTATGGAAGTAAACGCCAAAACTATGAATTGATTAATAAAGCACCGTTTAAGCATTAGGTAGTGGGCTTCTCTGGGAAACCAGACATTTTAAACTTAAGGTAACAAGGAGACGGTCATGTCCCCACAACAGTGAATTGGGAGGCAGCAGGATGGCGAGCGGGCTCCCCGACGTGAGGAAACGAGTAAACGACCTGCTTCCTAATTAATTATCACTGAGACGTCCGACGCGAATGGCTACTCTTTCCAAAGTGGCGTGATTCTGCCATAGCTCAGAAGTAAATACACTGGACCGGCTGTGCCAAGCTTTGGTCAGACGGGGACGGGGAGGGGGAAAGAGAAGTGAAAAGGGTGGGAGAGGAGAAAAGCTAAAGAGCTGACCAGACGGCCGCCATGACGCGGGGCCTTGGCGTTATGCTGACATCTAGCGGTGCCGGGTAGGAAAAGCATGAGGAAGACCCCGGCAGTTTTTTAATCTCTTACTAGGGTCAGGCCAGGTGCGTTCTACTCCACAGGTGTTCCTCCCACACGCACTCCTTGAGAAAAAGGATGACTGTACACCCGAAGCTAAGAAGTCGCGGGTATGGCTGGGTTACGAGGCTCACAAACAAGCTACTGTACGTGGTTTTTGTGCGCACATAGGTGCACGCCCACGGCTGCTCTGAGGCGTGCAATGCTGTCTGCCTGTATCACCCTGGGCTGTCACTTCTGACTGAATGCACCCGGAGGCTTCAGGGGAAAGAGGACGTGGGCAAGAAGAGGAAGAGGGAGCACATAACACTGCTAGGTATTTCTGGGGATGCTCCCATGTTGTTACCATCATAAATCCATCCATTTAGATGAACGGAACTGGCAATGAGGGTAGGTTGGGGACTGGGAATCTTTAAAATCATAAAAGGGACAAATCCAACCCATGATCATCATCAAAAGTGAATTGGGTCGGGCATGGTGGTGCACGCCTGTAATCCCAACTGTTCCCGAGGCTGAGCCAGGAGGATTGCTTGAGCGCAGGGTTTGAGACTTACCCCCCCATCTCTAAAGAAATAAAAATCTAAAAAAAATTTTAAAAAGTGATTTGAAACAGAGTCACGTGGAAGACAAACTAATGAAATATTTATTAAATCATATCCAGCATTTCTAATAAAAATGAAATTGCATTAGTTCCACGGTCTCCAATAGGTGGCATTTACCCAGAATGGCTGTCACCTGCCCCTAACTCTCACTCTGTTCAAAGAGAGCTTATTCTATCACAGACCCACCCATATGCTCTGGATTACTGAAAGGCATATAATGCCAATAAAAGTGTAATCACTATACACTGAATGGATTTCTAGTGGCTGGTATCTATTTCTTTTATACCTCAAAGCAGTTCGAACATATACAATAAGAAATTGGGAAAGGCAGATGCAAAAAAATTTGAGACAATTGTTTTGAAGCATGAGGTTGGATGATGGTAAGTTTTTCAGTCCAGGGCAGATTAAAAAATACATATTGATGATGCCCCTACCTCTGTCTGTACCATAGACATCCGGTAGGACCTCATTTCTGACACCAGCCCTAAGATGTCAACAAACTCATGATCCCGGATGTGCTGCAGGAGCCTGTCCAGGGCAATGAATGTGCCCGTCCGTCCCACTCCAGCGCTGCAAGAGAATGTTCAGACAGCACATTACTCAGGGCTTCGTCACTGTTGAAAAGTAATTGGCGAGTTCTAAAAATCTGTAGGTAGCACAATTGTCAAAAAAGAAACTAAACTCCTGACAATATTTTCCACTTAACTGATTTTTAAGTATGCTGTTGTGGTTGGTATTTCTTCTAAAGTCACATGTCTGACTCTCTCTGCTCCCTCCCTGAGATGTGGGTTTGCACTGCCTCGGCCACACCCTTTTCTGCTCTCTCTGCTTCCAGAGAAAAGTAACCTTTCCATATTGAGTACCTCGATGAGTTCGTTCCTGCCCTCAGAGCTGATGCAATAAACAATGCTCCATCTTTTGAATAGCCTCAGAGTTAAGCCCTCACACCCAGCTCAAAAGTCTGGTGGAGATGCCCACACTCGAATTAGCTCTGGGCCACAGCAATTTGTGCACCTTCAACCCCAAGTTCAGTTCACCATCCCAGACCTTCCTCACGGCACATCTGCCCTTCCAGTGAGTCCTGGGCCCGCTTCAGTCCCCCAGGAATCTTTGAGATAGTTGCCTTAAAATCAAATTAAATATTTGGACCCTGTCTCCTCCAGTCCCCAAATTCCAGCCCTCAGAGCACAGGTGGAAGTGGATGGGCAAGGGCTGGCCACCCACCCACCACAGCCCTAGTTCTACATGTTAGTCAGCTCTGCCCTCCTTCCAATCATCCATAGACAGAAGAGCCAAATGGCTCTAATCGCTGAATTATGATGAAATTATGAGAAAGTGGAAGCCAATTTATATGCAAAATTTGCTAGAAAAACTCAACACTAAAAACCTTGAGTTGAGAGCCCAATTTGCTTTTTCTGCTAGACAACCATTGCCTCCCCAGATTTCTCAGACAATGTAATCTGCCACTAGGTGAGCACCTGTAAAGTCATATCGAGAGCTGCACCTGCTCTTTGTCCTGAAAGGGAGCCATGAGTTTGACCCCAAGCTTTATTTTCTGTGCTTGGAAAGAATTATTTTGAGAAAGGACAATTTCATCTGCTAAAGCACAGTTTTCAACCTGCAAATGCCTAAGGTGGATTGACAGCAATGATATCCTCCCTAAATGGAAACCTAGTAGCTTATGAAGCATTTTTCTTTTCAGGGAGACACATACTTTACACACACACACACAAACGCACACGCGCATGCGCTCACACGCCATAGCCATCCTAATTCACAAAAGGTCAAGGCGCTAGAGCTGGGATTACAGACCCATTTGCTCAGGTTGGCGTGGCTGCCAATGCTTCCCTTAACGTTTATTTCATTCCGCTTCTGCTTCTGATATGAAATCAGAGCATATTTATGTTCTTCACTCTTTTGAGGTTGCATTAAAATTTTACAGCAATATTGTATCACAGAGATGGATTTTGATGTAGCTTTGTTGACTTGGTAGGAAGAAAAGATTACATTTAAAGATGACTCTTCCCGCAAGGAATTAACGTGGACCTTGATTTTTTGTAATGTCATGGATCATATATCCCCTTCATTCCAGCAGCCTAAAAAGTTAGAGACAGTTCTGAAGATCAACCATAGCAAATGTTAATCTTAATAAGTTGAATATTTTTATTTTTTTTACCTCTTCTTGCTTTTATGTCTATTATATTATTTAAAGTTGTGATCAGCTGTTTATAATTTGATCTTGTATTTGTTCATGTTATAACCACTCAGAATCCTTGATGGAGTAAGATAATCTCGCAAAGTACTTAAGGGCTTGGGCTTTGGAGATTGGTGTGCCTGAATTTCAACACTAACTACTCCAAGTTCCAGTTGCATGAACTTGTGTGAATCCCTTAATCTCTCTATTGCTTTGCATTTTTTCATTAAAAATGGGAATAATAATATCTATCTCATAGGCTGTAGATATAAAATAGCCATATTATAAGTAAATACTGTACATAGTAAGAGATCAATTAATCACAGATTTTTTAAAAAGTCATAATTCATTTAATTGTCAATTGAATTGAGCAGGAGTTTATAGAATGGTGGGCTACTTCCTTTATAAAAAGCACCCATAATGTTTAACCAAAAATGCGTTAGATGAGGTTACCTGCAGTGAATGATCATGGGGCCTTTGCTCTTGGTAGCTTGCTGTCGGACCATGTATACAAACTGTAGGATACTTTCCGCGGCGTTTGCTGTGGGCACACCGTGATCAGGCCATGCAGTGTAGTTAAAATGCATCACATCCTGCATTTCATCAGCCTTCAGGGAAAGAAGACAAAAACGAGCATTAATCTCACAGCCCACTGTTAGGATGGTCCAGGTCTCCACCGGCGATCACAAGTTAATGGTAGAGCCACGTTCCACTCCTGCCCGGTACGCTCCCCTATCCAGCTCTTAGCTCTGTACCTGGTGCAAAGGCGGTCCTGAAAAAAAAGTACTAACTGTATAAAGCTTCAAATAGTAGGACAGATAGGCTAATCCATGCCTGTGTAGTTAGGGACAAGAGCTGAAGCAGATCAGGGTTTGCATCCTGGCTCTGTCATTTCGAAGCTGCATCAGCTTTGGCCAATGAGTTAAATACAAAAGGTGCTGTTGGTGCCCTATTTAAACCCCGTTTGCCAGCCTGAGGGACCCCTCTCCCAAGTGCTAACAGCAGAGCAGCACCCTTCTCCTCGTACCTGTCCTCCCGTGCAGGGAGCTGCCTCGCTGGGAAACCTAAGAGGTTGTGTTCTCCTGCTGAGGGCAGCTGGCAGCTAATGACTGACTGATACCAGGGTGAAAAAATCCAACCCCCTTTGTCAGAACGGGACAACCGTATGGTGCCATTCACGTCCCCCTGCACTGTCTGTGGGATCTAGCAGAAGTCAGACTTCAGCTGAACCCACAGCTGTGTAGGGCGTCTTCCCTGTCTTCTTCTGTTTCCCTTGCTCCCTTATGAGTTTTACCCAAGAACACACTTTCAAAAAAATCACTTATATGAGAATCCCTGTCTTGGGCTTTGATACCC